ATATAAAATGTAGGTCATATCGCCCAGCACTAGAAGAAATGTTATATTGAGAGTTATAGGTGTCTGCATTGTTGAAAGCAGGTAAGCAACAGCAGATGAAAATGACAACACAACCACAGAAAATATCTTTTCAGTTAGGCGAGGTACATACTATAAATGCACTGAACAAAATAAAACCAATTTCTATGGAGATAAAAGTTACCACAAAAAGCATGGCTTTACGCTAGTTCAAACAAAGGGGTGTTCTGTCGAAAAGTGCTACCCATCGAAACACTGACCGGTAGTTGGTTATGATAAAGCAGAACTATCAATTTACACCGACGTGCTCACTTAACTAGCAGCCTTCTTGACAGCTTTAACTAACGACAGCTAATGTTAGCCTACTCTATGCTAATGTCAGAGTTACTTCCTATTATTGGAGCTCGTCCAAGTGTAACCGGTGCTATAACGTTTACTGCTTCGTTAGAAACTCTTCTAGTTTAGGACGAGTTCGACAAACAACGAGCAAAGGTCAAATGTCATCACAGGTACTCGTCTCACTGTGACGTCATTTTAAGATTTTGTAAATTTTACGCTGACCCTAACGAATAAAAAAAAAGACTAAGAAAAAAAAGATATAAAAAGTTCAAAAAGGAAATTTTTATCAAACTTAAACTTAAAAATGTGAAACCGAACAATCTAGTTCAAATGTGTAAAAAAGAAAGAAAGAAAGAACTAGTCTATTTCAAGGCAAAATTAAGACATATTTAATAGTGTGTTAAAAAGTCATAAAATTAACTTAGTCAGGAACAAATTTCAAATCAAGAAGTATTTATATGTAGCCTAAAACACGATAAGGATAATACTTTATTGATCCCCAGAGGGGAAATTCGGGCGTTACAGCAGCACAGACAGGAAAGCTCAAACATACACATTGAACAGAATAGATAAGATAAATACAAATACAAATACAAATAAAAACAGGCGGTATATACATTACAACATTAATGATGACGTTAACTGGGGGGAATTGAGAATTGAGGCAGTATTTGCAGAGAATGACAAGATAAAGTGACAAGTGATTAAAGTGACTTGGTATGATAAATAGCAGCAATTGATGTAATCTAGGCTTCACGTTACATGCAAATACTTAGTTTGTGTATATTCTTACATCAACTCTTTTTTTTCTGGCATAAATTTGTCACAGTAAATCTAGAAAAACCTCTTAAATCCAGTCTTAACATATCTGTGTGAAAATCAAGCCTCCAGAGGATGTCCTTGTAACACAGTTTTTTCCCCACCTCTCTTACATCCTTTTTGAGAGTGTGCAAGGAAGGCAGCAGAGAGAGAGAGAGAGAGAGAGAGAGAGAGAGAGAGAGAGAGCGGACCCACTGAGAGACAGTCTTTAAAATGTGGAGGGCATCTTCACCAAATATAATAACTTTATCTTTGATGTGATGGTATGGTATGGATGATTGTGTGATTAAATCCGGTGAAGTGCGGTTGTTTTTTCGGAAGGAAGAGTGAAGGAGGGAGTCGGAGATGGAGAGCGTTTCTTGTCAGGTAAGATCATCACTGCTCGATTTTAAACTCAGTCGCGGTATCTCCAGGGGGGGAAACTAAATAGCGTTTCCGTCTTAGGCGGTCTTTTTGGGAAACAAAGTGTCTTAAAGTCTTTGTGCAGAGATTTTTTTTTTTTGTTTACAATGGCGACTGATTAACGAGGTCAGAATCAGGCTATTATACACCTTTCCTGCTAGAAAATATCATTAGTTGCAGTCCAAGCTGACAGGTAGAGAGCAAACAGCCTGCAGGGGATTACTTGTAGGTACAGACGGAGAGAAATATGTGTGTGTGTGTGTGTGTGTGTGTGAAGGGACTGATTCGGCATAGTGTTAGGCTACAGTAGGCTTATGCCACATTTATTCCACAGGAGTAGCCTCATGAATGTTGCTTGAGGTTATCACCTAAATTAATTATCACAAATCTGCCCAATTACTTATTTTTTATCGGTTTTTTTTAAACAAATGTAACCTAACCTAACCTTTTGTAAATGTCCCCATTGTGGGATAAATAAAGGATTATCTTATGTTATCTTATCTTAGATTAAAAAAAAGTTGTCATCTAAAGCAGGAATCCACACATTACACATCTTTGATTAATGAAAAATGAAATGTTTCTTAGGTGGAGTTTTGTGCTGTAGCCTCACTGCTGATTACCAGGTAACATCAGTAGAGTCTTCAAGGTCACCACATATTATTTATTTTTTGTAACAAAACAAACAGATTTTGAGGTCATTTTTGTTGGCTTTTTTTTTTTTTTGATGTCAATAGTAGCAAAAGGGTAGAGTAGGTCCATGTGTGTGTTTTCTCCCATGGTCGTAACATTAAGCTGTAGGCTAATTGCTTTCTGATTCTTGCATCGGACTGGCACAACATGTTTTATCAAAAGGGATTCCAAAATTTTCAACTAAATGCCATGAGGCCTGGAAGGAGGGCTGAACTGGTCGGCTGGGAACTAGTTCACAAGCACTTAGCAGAGACTCTAGGAATTCTGTGGTCCTGGTAGACTGGCGTAGTGTAGCTAATAGTCAATTGGTTTTATTAATCTAGCATAGCCCATTAGAACAGCATATAATGTGTAAATTAATAAAGCTTGAGAAGCGATTTGCCTAGCTAAGCATATAGTAGCTGCTGCTTTTAGCGTAGTATTAGGTGTTCAGCCATGACCTTGCATTTCATTTGCTCATTTTACTCTTGGTAGAAAGGTATTTTTCTTTATAAAAGCCTAACTACTAGTTTAAGAAAATAAATCTACTGATGTTAGATTGTCAGGCAACTCATTGGCAAGTGTGGATTTCAGTGTTTGCTGATTATTCATTTATTTTAAGAATGTCGAGAACTCTGTTTCCGTGCTCGCTGGGAGACATCTAAAGTTGCTGAGATTCAATTTGGAAACATATTTTATTGACTGCTTCCTCCCCAGTCAATAGCAGCTTCTGTTCAGAGTCCTTCTCCACTACAGATCACATATTTGAAGAGTGCTTTCTTTTAGTCCAACTGATTTCAGACTTAAGTGTGACTTAAATTAGCCACTACTGAAAAAGTAATATTCTACTGTTTGTTCTGTTTGTGCTTTAAGAACTGGGACTACAGAAGACAGTTCAAATGATCACTTCTTCAAATGAAGGGGTCTAGTACAGGGTAGAATGAAACCACTGAGCTCGGCTCTTCTTTCGGCTGTATAAAATTTAACTGGCTTGACTTGACTTGGCTTCTGCATAAACAGTTTGTTTGGGAAGCCCTATAAAGACGCTGCTCTTGGCTTCAGTTGCTGCAGCAGCGTCCCTACACGCTGCATGCCAGGTTTAGTAGGGCTTTGTAAATACCACAAGTAATGACAAGAATGTTGACAACTTCACTACTGTGTGTCAGTAATCCTCATCTCTGTCTTCAGTTGCCTGCTAAAAGAGCAAATGTCTACAGCTCATTTTCTGGCACTCGTTAGCTGAGTGTGCAGAACATGTGTCACCCCCCCCCCCCTTTTAGACGGGGTGATCGTTTTCTTGGTGTGATGAAGCCGTATTAAGCTGAACCCTAAAATGTACCACTTGGCTGTTCTTAGATTTCACGATTAACATTAGCTCCCAGAATCATACCGTCACCAGTCCATCGTGTTGTAACTGGTAAGCATAGCAATGAGGCTTTTTTGCAGTGATAATCTGACAGATGTAGCTGGTGTTGAATGAGTCACTGACTTGAAATGCAGCGCGATGGTGCTCTCTCACCACCGTGCTCACTTTGTCACAGGAGCCTTTGACATTCCTCGTCTGGATTCCTTAAAGGTTTTTCATGAGAGTTCAGAAAATCCTGTTACATCTATTCATTTTTGTTCTTACAGAGCTGAGTGGTGTTAATGCTGCTGTGTTTCATTCTGCAGACTTTGATCGCCTCCCCATATACCATATATCATTTTCTAATTCTATCTAAATTAAATAAAGACGATGCGGAACATGATAGATTATTAATGGCCATTTTCAAAGGGAAACTCCGAGTAGAAAGATACGGCCAGCAGAAGCACCTGAGCAGCAGAGAGGCTGTCTGTGTAGACATCACAGGTGTGCAAACACAAAGCTGTCCAGGGGGGTTCATCAAAAGGTAAAGGTAGTCAGTGTGAGTCCCAGTCCTGAAACTGCTTCAGGTGTAGCACTGCCCTGTGACTGAACCTTGACCCCAGGTAATCCCTCCCCCCTGTCAGCGGTAGAAAACGCTCCCGGCCATCGGTTCTTCCCCTCTCTTGGTCTTATCTCTCGCTGCTCTCCTGTGCATGTCCCGACATGCAGACAAACACGGAGAAGGGGGAGGAGACAAAAAAACAAAACAAGAAAAACCTGAGAGCATGCGAGACTGAGAGAGAGCCAGAGGCGAGAGAGAAAGAGAGAGCGAGAGAGAAGGAAGTGTGAGGCAAGAAAGAGCGTGAGAAAGGAATGGGGAATTTTTATGACAGAGCTCCAGTTTGGGATCCATGCTTTTAAAATCTGAAGAGAAACAGAAACTGAGAGGAGAGAAGACGCTAGCTGTAATTGGGAGACAGAGGATGACTGAGTCAGGGGAAAGGTGAGATAGTGACATTAAATCTGTGAGAAGCATGCTGTCAGTTCCTCTCTTGACTCTTTCTTTTCCCTCTTCAGATTTCTGACTGAGCAGCTCCTCGATCTGAAGGGGAAGAATGACAGGCGGTGGTAACCATGGATCCTCTTGTTTGCTTTGCTGCTACAAACCAGAGAAACTAAAAGATGAAGACAAGCCCAAATTAGGAAATGAAGAGGGGATCTATTAGCTTATTAACCTTTTTTTGACTCCTCTTCCTGCAAAAAAAAAAAAAAAGAAGACCTGCAGGGGAAGGGAAGCCACTGATAATGATTGCCTGATGCAACACTTCCAGAAACTGAAAACGCGAGGAAACAGCTGTCACGAGCAGAGGTTGTCACAAGCTGCAGCTAAAATTAAAAGTCGGGGTAGAAAAAAATTACAGGAGGAGCATGGGACATGAAGTTCAGAGCAGTGAGTTGACATCCAGGAACAAATGAGCAGCGGTGGATTTGGCAGCAGCTGCAGCTTGCTCCAGGGCCGGCGTTTCTACTGCCGGGAATGGGCCCTGGACAAGCTGTGGCGCTGCCTGGAAAACCGCTCTGTGCCGGGACAACCGGCAGGGCTGTTGGTGACAGGGGGTCCAGGTGCAGGGAAGACTGCCCTGTGCACCGAGGTGGTGTGGCCCACCTCGAAAGCAGGAGTGGAAGTCGGACTGGCATCGCGCTGCCTGGCCTCCCACTTCTGCCAGAGGGAGGACCAGAGGAGCATGGTGCTGTGGAGGTTTGTCTTGGCCTGGTGGAGCAGCTGAGGGCCTCGTCTGTCCTCCTCCTGGGTATAAAGAGATCCTGAACAGCCCGTCTGTATCCTCTACTCTGGAGCCACTCACCTGTCAGAAGGACCCAGACAACACCTTCAAGAGGTTGGTGTAACATTTTATTAAAGTTTACTTTAAAAATTCTTAAAGCTAGCGTCCATCTGCTTTTTGTTTTGACATTCTGGCATTCATACTTGATCCGCTGTGGGCTGATGTCGAGGGAGATTCTAAGGTTGCCAAAGTCGAGGTGAAAGGAAAGTAATGTAACAAGCATGAAACCCATCCAGGAGCTCTGCATGTGTCTGCATGTTCAACAGTGGGGCTCGTTCACAGCTCAACACAGTCAGATGGCGATACTGTTAATACAAGCGAGAACAGATAAACTCAGGTCCACTCAGCATGTGTCAGCGAGTGTTTGACACAATCAGCAGGAAGTATAAATAGGTGAAACCTGTGAAACAAGTTCGTCTTCACGGTTTTGGAAGTATTCAGTTTAAACAGGAGAGTTCTGCTGACTGTTTACATTTTAGACAAAATCCCCCATTGTTCATTGTTAAGCTGACAAATTACCATGAAAACTCAAGGAGGCATTACTGACCCATGTTATCTTTTGAAAAATGAATTCAAAAGATATTGCCCATTGCTCCTCATGCTTCACAACATGAATATAGGCTATAGAGACAAACTGCTTAACCCCACACGATGAGGAATTATCTAACCTATCAAAGATCAAAAGTGGTCTTTACAGACTCTTTTTATTGGCACGTTTTTCAGCTCTAGATTTAAGTTAAGAAAGTTAAGAAACAATCAAGAAAAATTGTTTCAAGGTCCGAGGCCGAGACATACCCGAGACCGGAGTGCTCAGAGGCAGAGACAAGACCGAGACATTCGGGGATCGAGACCGATTCAAGACCAGTATCAAGGCAGGGCGAGACCGAGGAAAGACCACAAATATCAATGAAAAATCATCATCTTGTGTGCAGCAGTCATATCACTCACTTAAAACGTAACACTGAGAAGGTTGCAGACGTAACCGTGGGGTAAAAATCTAATTATGAATGAATTAAAGTTAATTGATCTTTTAGAAAGGGCAGTTTTCCTTCGAATCAAAGCAATGACGTGTAGAAAAGGCCTATCAGTGTTGGTCTGCAGAGTCCGCCCAGTTCGAGACGAGACCTTCAAAAAGTGGTCTTGAGACCAAGACCGATTTCAAGTACTACACGTTAGTTTGCTGAAATGTTAAAAGCACCTCATGATAAAATGTAACATTCATGGAATCTTCAGTCGCGTGATATTTCATGGATAAATCCCCTTAAGACGGGGCCAAGCTGCCTCCACACATTCAGAGATAACTGCTTGTTTGCATCATCAGCTGCAATGTCAATCAATCAATCATTATTTCTATCGCGCCGATTCATAACAAGTGTTATCTCGAGACGCTTTACCAAAGAGCATATGGGATAATAAGCAGGCAGGTTTTCTCATTTGTATAATGTCTGCAACACTTGGGTGCTTTAGATGTTTAAATAACATCTAAAGCACCCAAGTTTGCCTCAAAAAGAAATGATGGAGTGTCAAACAGCCAGCCGCTGTCACTTATGTGCTGGGAAAAAGATCCATAAAAGCTTTTTGCCCGCACATATTTTTCACTAAATAGAGGCCATTCTCTGCAGGTGTTTGTACTGTCAACTCACAAAGAGAGTCTCGAAGCTTGTAAAATGTAAGACCATGTCTGAAGCGAAGAGAGGCCACAGCAGTCACAGGAAAACGCCGACATCAGCTATTCTTCCTCGTCTTATATTTATTTCTCCTCTCGTAATGCCGGCCATTCACAGCGCACACAATGGGCCTCCAGTGCGAATGAATGCTACAGTGTTATTTACGACACAACATCCTTTCAGACCAGGGGGAGAAAAAAAAAGAACAAAGAGGTGAAAAATGCCTCCAGTACCCCAGTGACCATTTCTGCACCAGTCAGCGAGGTCGTACTCCTCTCTACAATCGTATGCACTCTCTCCTGGTGTGTTTACTCTTCGATGAGCCAGAGCTCTTTTACACTCCTCTTGTGTTTGCTCTCCTCTGGTGTGAAGTACCGAGCTGGATTCCACATTCCCCTCTGGCTGGCTCTCATCCAGCCGCTGTTTGTGTTTGGAGTTCTTGTGAGAGAAAGTGGCTGCGGGCGGACTACGTCAGCCTTAACCAAACTGATGAAACACAGGCTTCAACTGGCAGTGAAAGGGAACACATGAGACGTATGCCCTACACAGGCTGGTAGCTGTCTGTAGTCAGCACATCATTAACTGTTCTTGAACTTTTTATGCGGAGTGGCTCCCACTGCCTGAAACCTCCCAAAGGTTAGATGTAGGGTTCAAAAAGTTGGGTAGTGCTGGTGGATTTCAATCAAAGAAGCAGAAACAACTTGATGCGTCATTGTTTAACTTGTAGGCTGGGTTCACCAATCAAGTTCAGCTCACTTGTCCTTACCACAAGGAAAATTATCCGTTGTTGCCTGTGTGTTTTGACTACCTTTACCTTTCATGTTCAAACTAGCTGATTTCAACATGCCAAAAGTACCAAGCCAATCATAGGAGTCTTAAGACTTCAGACAAGAGGCTTTCATTGAGCAGAAGTCACCTGTTGGACAAACTGATATGTTTTTATGGTCAAAGAAAGAAAATGTCATCTGTGTGGCAGTCTGCCTCTAAGAAAGATCAGCAGCATGCAGTTTGTAAGACAGTGACATTTCAAGAGGAGGGACGAGAACAACAGTTTAAATGCATATCATATCTCATGGCTCATCTGAAAGCGGACACGACAAGAATGCCAAAGACATCCGGATCAACCTTTTTTGATACTAGTACAGTTTAAAAATATACTTATTATTTGTGGAAAAAAACACTGATTGCTGCCAATCCCAGCTTTGACTATCCTTACACTCTTGGCTAGTATGGTTTTTTGTATCGTCATACCCTACCATAAACTGCATGAAACCAGTTTAATTTTTGTGGGAAAATTGGTTATGCATCCGTTTCAATGCCTTGACTGGCAAATTTGCAGATACACTATTTTAGAGGGTACCAGAGGCTGATACTAGATACTTTCACTCCATTGGGTCATTTCTAAGTCCAATGTTCTCAAACATTATGAATATTTTGGAGTAGTATTTTATCTAATCTTTATATTTTAGATTAGAATGGATAGGAAAGGTGTATGACATGCATCAAATGGTTGCAGGACTCTGCCTCTGTATATGGTGGGCCTGCTCTAACGATGGAGATAAACCAGAATTTCTTCTAAAACATCATTACTGATTGGTTGGTGTTAAGTTTGGCCAATGTTGTTGGGCATGGGATGGTGGTGATGTCAGCAGTGCAAATACATTTTAGCTGATTCTTAGCGGAATATTTGTACAAAAAGCAATGCAACAGGAGCATGACAGGCTTAAAACTTTGAAAACCAAGTCTAGAATCGACCGTAAACTGACTGTGTGGAAGCAGAGGAGGATAGTGTGAGACAAAGCAGCCTCCATGAAGTCTGTTGGCTGTTTACTCCAGTGATGACTGTCAGTGAAGTCGGCAAAACCTCGTTTAGACCACAGGCATGGTTTAATGGCATGGTCAATGACTGTTAGCCACAAGCAATGGTCACAAGCATTTGTCAAGTGTCCAAACCCTAGTTAGGGCTTCCTCCATAACATAGAGGAAGTTTTCCTGTTGCATGTAGAATGGTAAAAATCCATTCTGCCACTGCAGAAATATCAACATGTTAAGTCAAGAAAACGGTTTTGCTCACAAAACAAAATGTGGGCGTAGATGCCAATGAGTTAAACATGAGTAAACTTTAAGCTGTAGGTGGGTGGGTGATTTTAGCATACTGACCCAGGGACACATACATTGATCACTTGGCATTAGTAAAACATTGCTGAGGACATGGAAACCTTTGAAAGGTCTCCGTGATAGGTCATATAAAGAGGACGTTGATCTGGCAGGCATTGGACTTTAGGCTGACCGCTCCATGTTTTATTCAAAGTGATTCAGTTATGTTTGATTCTGATATTGAAGTATCTTGCTGCTGCCTTTTAATATCAGGTGGATAGAGCTCATGCATAAGTTGCTATCTTTTTTGGACTGGGCATTTTGGAAAAGGGTTTCCTTGTCAAGTTGTCTGCCTGACTTTGAACACTTACAAACACAAGTTTTCTAACTGAACTTTGCTTCTTAAGGACAAACAGTAATAAAGCATGTCATTAAAAATTAACTGAGCATGTTTTTTACTAAAATGCATGCAGAAAGAGGAGACATAAAAATAAGAATATTTTAATAAAGATGCATGGAAAGGCAAAAATAACTTAAGTGAAAAACACCAAACTGAATTACTGTAAAGAACCACACACGCATACACTACAGACATGAATACAGGTGAAAAGAGAAAAGTATGGTACACTATCTGTTAAAAGCCTTCAGATAGCTTTTACCAGAGGGAAGGGTCTGAATCTAGGTTCAGTTAGAAATCTATCACCTGAGGGTCAGATTGGATTTCACTTCAGTCTCTGAGCAGGTCTGAAAGTCAGTCAAGTAATTTCAGCATGAAGTTTGTCTCTGAGGGAACATCCTAATTATCAGAGGTTTGAATGTGACATTCTCCCCTCTACAAGTCCATTTAAAGCTCAGGTTCAGAGGTCCCCTTCAGATCTGTGTCCAGCACTGTGTGGGCTGAACGAAGCGGAAAACCTGAATTCATTACACTTCCTCCTCCTCCGCAGAACTGAAAGTATGCCAGTGAGGGAGTGTCACTTTAATCAGATGACTAAAGCACACAGAGGTCTGATAAGCTTATTGTAACTTGAGATGAAGCAGTCACCCGCGGCAGGGTTTAGATCTACCTTTAATTACAGGATGTGCTTGGTGATAAAAGTCAGCTGGGAGATAACGTTTTATAAGCTGATTCACACTCATTAAGGATTGGTCTGTAAATGTTCCCCTTGTGAAAAAGAAACTAAAATTGATTGGGACATGTCTGACCAAAGAACATTTTAAAAGCCCTTCCACACAATCCTGAAATTTCTTGAAAATTGTGGAACATTTCAGGACAGGACATTTCTAGAAACTTTCAGGACAGCCCCTGAAATCTTCCCAAGTTGCTCCCCTACATGGCGCTTACCGTCAGTATGTTTACATGCAATTAGACAACATTGATTAATTGTGTTCTGACTAAAACTGGACTATTATAATGCATGTAAACATGTTAGTCCGACTGAAATTTCTCAAAGCCGGACTAACACTCAAAGATAATTGTGATTGATTTACTCTTGCATGTATACGCCTCAATCAGACCTAAACATGCCTAGACTTTCTATGCATGCTCCAAGTTCCCATGTCGGCCTTTGTCCCAGGAGTCAAACAGCCTAAATATGTGTGTTGTGTGCCTTCAGATTTCACCATATAAGCTAGAGAGATAGCGTGCATTGCGTTTGTACCAAAAGCAAAGCATTGAGTATGTACAAAATGCACAGAGATGTAGAGTTATCCATGCTTCTACGGTTCGACGGGCAACCAATTTGCTGTTTGCCAACTCCTTAAAAGGTCAACTGGAAGGGGGTCCAATAGTTACTAGCTGAAATTGGGCATATCGCCACCTACTGTAGTGGAGTGGGAAATTCTTCCAACAAAAGCCGGAATAGTGGGAGTGAAATTGTCACACAGCTCACCACAAAACTTCTCGCTAATTTTCAGGACTTCTGTGCTTTCCTGTATTGTCATATATTTACACAGCTTTTAGTAATCAAAACAAATCTAAGAGAATTAATAATATAAAGCCATAAAAAAAACTAAAATCCCAAAGGTTTGTTATGTTTGTAATTATGAATTGATCAGCAATCACTGGCTGTCTGCTTGAGATTCGGGAACCCTCCCTATCACAACATTTTTAAACATTGTATTGATTAAATGGTAAAAAATTATATGGTTAAGTAATGCACCCACTAATTGATGCCACAGCCGTTTTTTATCGTCATATGCGTGAAAGGCTGCCTCCACTAACATCATTAGAGTTCAAGCTGTTTTTTAATTAATGACATGAAACCTTGATGGTAATAGAGGGAAACACGCCATGATGCCTCTTCCCTGTTCAGACTGCTGTCTATAAATGAATCATGAGGTGAGATGTGTTCCTGACTTACCATCTTCAACTCATTTGCATATTTTAACCAATCAATGATGCAGCTACTGCTAACTGGTGAGAGTTGTAAGAAATCATATATTATTTGTTAATTGAAGTTGTTTTTCATGATGTTAATATTCGCGGTTTCCCGGCAGAAGCTCAAACAAGGCAGATCTGTTGGACGCATCACAGATGACTTATTTTTGTAATGTAAAAATATTCACTGACAAAATGCGTATGTGAATCCAGATTGTGATATCACATTATTGAAGCTAACACGTTCAGTTGTTTTGACTTGCCAAGCTTCTGTATCAGCCAGTCTGAAATGAAATGTTCCTTGGCGGCTCTGTTTACAGGTTGGATGACCTCTCCTCAATGTTTGATCAACACTTGTGTAGCTGCTTCCTTCCTGGCAGCAACTGATTTTGCTTTTAAAGGATTGGAAATGTTGCTTGTTTTGCTATTCTTTGGCATCAGGAACATTATTCAGAGTAGCTGATAGACAGTTGGTGATTTGAGAATGAAAAGCTGTATTTCCTCTTCATTCTGTATTTATTTTTTTTACAGAGAGTTAAGGTTTTAAGGTCTTCTTCTTCTTATGGGTTCAAAGGACACCTGCTTGGTGACTAAAGGTGACTGGTGCTTCTGATCACTCTTAAACATACACATTACAAGTAATAACAGCACACACACAAACACACACCCTGTGTTTATTGGAGGGTAATTGAGTTAGGTTCAGCGACTGTGTGACCCATTCATTGCACTCTGCTGTCACAGGTTAACCACTGTTTGTCACCTTCAGAACAAGTTTCTACAATCCCTACTTCAGTAGACTTCAAAAATCAAAACAGACCTCAGTGTTTCTCCTAGGTTTACAGCTTTTGGGGGGGCGGGGGGGGCACACGCCGACACACTGACACAAACAGAAACACTTGAAAGAATCTTGGTGTTCATGCGTTACTTTTAATGACAGCTGTCCTGTTCTATTGGAAAGGTATCCACTATCCCATCTCTACAATAAAGGCACAAAAAGCCCAAAAATAGATCTACTTGACCTTCAAGGGGGGCGGGTGTGGGGTGGGGGGGGTACTTCTATAATGGTAGGGGAAAACACTGGACCTTGTAAGAAAGGTGGAAAACCAATTTTTGGCCCAATGGTTAAGGTTGAATAGAAAAGACACGAGGAGTCATCCTCTGGGGAACATGAATGACTTTGGGGCACTTATAAGAAATCAATCTTATAAGTTTTGAGATGTTTAATTGTTGAGCCCACTGCTAGACCACCGCTGTACTGTAGCACTGCTGCAAGCACGGCCAAAATACACTGGTAACCATAAAACCGTTGTTTGTGAAATGTTACAGCAACCCTCTAACATGAAATACATTTGAATAGCAGTACTTGTAATTACTTTAACAGTTAACTAATACTTAAATATCAAATACTTAAAATTGACTATATGACATTTAAAGTTGTCATCAGTTGTGAAACATATTATCACCTAGGTTAAACACATCTGCCGCTGCTTAGCTCTGTTAACACAGGGAGTACATGGGTGTCTATAATAACTATAACTACACAGCTTCTGTATAACTATTATGTGTTATGTGTTTGAAAACAGAGGTTTTTTTTTTTGACATATTTTTACTGCAGCAAAAATCTTCACTCCATTTGAGTGCAGAATGTTTTCCCCATGGATAAACTTGCCTCAGGTCTTAGGTCAAGATTCAGGAATAAGAGCCTGCAGCTACAGCTGGGTTCTGAAACCATTTCACTCTGTGCGGCTAAGATGAGTTCAGGTGAATATTCAGTCGTTACTCTTTTCTTTATTATGCATGATGTTCGCACTTTTCTCTTCTAGTTGTATTGTTTTTAATGATTAATATTTTGTGAACCTTTTTAGGTTAAATTTGAATTGAGGAATTAAGCTGAGGTTTAATGTGATACTATATGTATCCTTGATGTTTTGGTCAGAGAGGGTAAAGGGTTTTAGAGAATCAAAGCTCAGGCATGTTACCGTGAGGGGTTGTAAAGCTCAGGAAGGACTTCAAAGGAGGGATGTGCAAGTGTGCTTGGGTAAGTAAGGATTGTGTGTGTGTGTTTATCTTCTGTGTACACACACCTACCTGTGCGTGCGTGTGTGTGAGCGTGCCCCAGGGTGGAGCAGGAAATGTCAGAAGTTCCATTAAAGTGAGTCACCTTCAGATCACAGCAGGGAGGCTGCTGACTGTGCTCTGTGAAGGACAGTTCAACTTTAGAGTTTTACCTGGCTTAGCACTGTTGTGCCAAACACACTAAAGGGTACAAGATTTGCCATTTGTGTACAATAATTCATAAGCATGTCTTTATTACAAATGGTAAAGATTTGAGGTAAGCATTAATATGAAAGTTTCCTGAGTAAAAAGTGTCAGATTTCAGAAATACTGAGCCATGTTGGTTTGACTGCAGAGAGATCCAAAGTTATGGAAACACGCTTAGCTAAACTAGCCCCTGTAACTCATTCTGCATTTCTTTCACAAGAATAATCCTCGGGTAACCTTTCATAATTAAGGGATATTACCTTCTACTGCCGGAGGAAACTGCAACCTAAATATTGTCAAAAACACAAATATTGAAGTTTTTCAAAAAAATACTTATCATCCCAAAGACTACATGAAAAGTTACAAATATCAGTGTTGTTTTTGGATGTGTTTTCTTGAATCTGGAACAGGAGTCTGGGACATGGATATTCTTGTGTGGTCTCTCTTTAAGCCTGATTAACTGTTTTGAAAACGTTTTACAATGAGAAATTTAAATCTCAGTCTGGTTGGAATTCCTTTAGAGTCGATATATAAAGTTGTTTGTTTCATTACATTTTTGAATCGTGTTTTTTTTTTACAACATGAGAGGTATGGTAGAACTGTTTATAAAGTTAATGTTGTGGAAAACACAAAACATTTCCGTGTTGTAAGTGTAATTGCCTCAAGTCATGGGAAAATAGCTTTCTGCATAGTGATGGAGTGATTACTTTCAGAGTCATTGACTTGATTTGAAACGGTTGACTGGCTTTGTTCTGTATCTGCTGTGGAAATGCACTGCGGGCAATTTAAAAGAAAAAAAAGCTCACACAGTTTGTGTTACTTTGAGCTTTCTCATCTGCCCTCAACTGCATTTTATAGATGTCTGGAATTTGATCTTTATCTTTTCATGTCTGCCTTTTTTCACCCTTAGAGCAGTGTTGGGACCCCTGCTGGATCTTTCTCCTCCTGCCCAGACTCTAATGATGGTGGTGGACTCCATTGATGTAGCATTTGAGGCAGGCATTGGAGGTGGGAAGAGCGGCTCCATCGCAGAGCTCCTGGCTGCAAATCAACACCTGCTGCCTGGCTGGCTCCTGCTGGTCTGCTCTGTCCGTCGTCACAACAAGGCTGTGTGCAAGATGTTTTCAGGTGAGAAAAGATAGCTCATTTTAATGTTATTCTGTATGAGAATGTGTTGTACCAGACAGGAATAAGCTGTGTGAGGTTGATATTGGGCTGTCGTGATCAGGGAATAAATTGACTGACCAGTATTTGTGTCAGCTCATTTAAAACATTTGTTTTCTTATGTTATTGAGATAAGTATTGACCGACATACATATACATTCAACACCCAAGTTCAGGATTTCACATGTAATCTAGCAGTCTGTTTTACATTATTCCCCTAATAATGCTGTCTGCATTTTGGGATAATATCATTCATTCTTAACCTTTGTTAACAGTATTATTGCTGGCTATGTCCCCATCCGTTTTATTAAACAGGCACCCAATGACTGAGTTACTGAAACCTATCTGGTCTGACTTGTGTAATGAGTGAATGTAAATTAAATATATAAAATAATGGTCTTCATAAAATAGACATACAAGTTTTTCTACAGTTTTAGCGAAAAGGATCTTTGACTGTTGTATTGTTAAAAGCTGGTGCGAGGTTGAGTGCTCTGGTTATACGCCCCAGCTTTACTTTAGCAATGAATTATAAATGAAGGAGAGATGTGTTGTGTAATGGAAACTAATGACCAAATTATACAGCACTGAATTTATTTCCTCTTCCAAGATCACAATTGCAGTTCTTTAACCAAGGTCTTCTCCACCATTAGCACTTTTACAAAACAATATATTCCAAGGGTAAAAAAGTACTCTATAAATTCTAGAAATCTTTTAAGCTCACACATCAGTACATCCCAGGGATTAAGGTGTTCATAAGGCCATCTGTTTTTCTTTTCTGTTTTTAATGTTGTTAGAGTATGTATCATATGGTGATAATCACTGGAAGAGACAGAGAGAGATTAACCCAAAAACACAAAATTGTAAAAACCGTATTGGGGTTAAAAAATGTGCTACTTTTTTCTGTGTTGCAGGTTTTCGTAAACTCTGTCTGGATGATCTGAGGAAGCCACCACCAGTCCATGATGTGCAGCAGTACATCCTCTGTCGGCTTGATGAAGAAGCGGCACTTCGCCGCCAGCTCACCCCTGACACAGCTGACATGCTGAATCTACTTCACATTAAGAGCAGTGGCTGCATGCTCTTCCTTGAGCGTGTGCTTGATGGCGTTGCAGGTGCACTGGTGGGTCTCCGGGAGATCCGGGACATACCTGGGACTCTCAATGGCCTCTATCTTTGGTTGTGCCAGAGACTCTTCCCCCGGGGGCTATTCGTCTATGTCCGGCCTCTCTTCAATATCCTTCTGGCTGCCCCAAGGCCCCTCACACCCCAACAATTATTCTCAGCGGCCTGGACACATGACAACTTGCTCAGCCTTCAGGATTTCCAGAACAAGCTCCGAACCCTCTCTCCTCTCCTGATCGATGGCCCTGGGGGCACCAAAATACTTTTTCATGCTAGTTTTGCTGAGTGGCTGACAGATGTTAAGTATTGCACACAGAAGTACCTGTGTAGCAAAACTGAAGGTCACAGTATGCTTGCCATGGCTCTTACTTTGCAGGGACCCTACCTTGACATTGAGGATACTTGCCAGCTTGCCACACATTTAGTTTGCTCAGGTCACCACAAAGAAAACCCCTCATTATTAGCACTATGGATGATTTGGGCAGGTGTGCCAGTTCTTACTCCTAGCAGCAGTACTACACTCACCACATCCTCAATCCACCCTCCTGTTCTTGTCAGCCAAGAAGTCCTTCAGCTGTTAAAGAGGAGTGGGCTGGTCTCGGCAGCCTTTCTTGTAGATGCGGACCCAAACGTAGAAGAGCATCATATTGATGAAAAGGAAACTAAGTCACAACAGGACTTTGAAAAGGAGGTATCTGTAAAGAAGCTGTTAGACAGTTGGTTGTCTGTAAACCATGCTGGTACCACTGATGGACGAACCTTACTTGCCAGTGCAGCCCATGAGGGTTCTGAAAACATAACTGAACTTCTCATCGCACACGGATCTAATCCAATGGACAGTGATGTTCATGGTCAAACGGCACTGACATTGGCTTCCAGGCAGGGTCACGTCAAAGTTTTGTCTGTGCTACTCGAGTGGGCAAAGAGCCAGGAACATGAAACAGCAATGCAGATGATGGAACATGTGGACAATGAAGGCTGGACAGCACTGCGTTCTGCTGCTTGGGGAGGACACAGCGAGGCTGTCCGACTTCTTCTGGATGCTGGAGCAGTAGTGGATGGATGTGATAACGAGGGCAGGACTGCTCTTAGAGCTGCTGCATGGGGTGGTCATGAACAAATTGTTCTTACCCTGCTGGACTTTGGGGCAAAGGTTGACAGAGTTGACAGCAAAGGCCGGACACCTCTCATTGCTGCTGCCTATATGGGACATCATGAAGCTGTGGAGATTTTGCTGGACCACAATGCAGATGTTGATTTAGCTGATGGAGATGGACGAACTGCTCTGTCAGTCACTGCCCTCTGTGTCCCTACAGCAGCAGGGGTTAAAGGTTATGGCGAGGTGGCAAGTTTGTTGCTGGAGCGTGGAGCAGACCCTGGCCACAGAGACCATGATGGAATGACACCGTTGCTTCTTGCAGCTTATGAGGGCAATGACGACGTAGTTGAGCTTCTGCTAGAAGCTGGAGCTGATGTAGATGAGACAGCTGGACCTGATGGCAATGTCCCCGCTGCGGCTGCTGTTACTCCCCTGTTGGCAGCTGCAGCAATGGGGCACATGAAGACAGTATCAAGGCTGCTTTTCTGGGGAGCAGCTGTTGATGCCATTGATTGTGAAGGCAGGACAGCACTCTGCCTGGCAGCAGCAAGAGGCAGCGTTGAGGTTGTTCGCTCCTTGCTGGACCGAGGACTGGATGAGAACCACAAAGATGACCTTGGTTGGACTCCACTTCATGCTGCTGCCTGTGAAGGCCATCGAACTGTGTGTGCTGCGTTGACTGAACGAGGAAGCATGGCACGGGTTGGAGAGATGGACATTGAAGGACGCACCCCTCTTATACTTGCTGCTCAGGAAGGTCACTGGAGCACTGTTAGGCTGTTGTTGGATAGACGTTCTCCCATTGACCACAGGGCGTATGATGGACATTCTGCCTTGAGTGCTGCCCTCTTGGAGGGCCATTCTGAAGTTGCAGACCTGCTTATGAGGCGAGGGGCTGATACTGATGTCCGGGACGCAGAGGGAAGGCCTCTGCTTTACCTCCTGGTGTTAGAGGGTCGCCTTGAAATGGCTACACTCCTCATAGAGAAAGGTGGGGTGCCCCTGGAGTCCAAAGACCCTGAAGGTCGTACAGCACTCCATGTGGCTTCATGGCAGGGATCTGTGGAGATGGTAGACTTACTTTTAAGGCATGGGGCAAACCCTAATGCACAGGATACAGAGGGAAGGCCACCAATTCACTCAGTGGCTTGGACAGGACATGTAGAAGTAGGGCGCCGTCTCCTGGAAGCCAATGGTGTCATTATAGACCTTTCTTGCCACCAGAAAGCAACAGCTTTGAGCATCGCTGCCCAGGAGGGACATGCTAACATTGTTGCAATGCTTCTGGAAAGAGGAGCAAACCCTGATCACATGGATAAATATGCCCGTAGTCCAATCAAAGTGGCTGGGAAACATGGTCACTTTAACATTGTCAGGCTTCTTGAGAGCTATGGAGCCAAGCATTATGTGGGCCTGTTTACCACAAGCACTTTTTCGCCTATAAAACCGAACAGGAACTACTCCTCAGGCATCTCAAATAGTACAGGTGGTGAAGTCACCACCACTACCTCCTCTTCTTCAATATCTTCTCCCGGCTCCACTGCTGAACGATTCCACTCCATGCAGAGCTCACAAACCTCATCTACTTGCCACTCACTGGCCACAGTTCAGACAGTACCAGCTGACAGTCTCAGCTTTATTCAACAGATCCAACAGCACTCACTTCCTCGCAGTCGTAGCCGTCCCTCAACCCTCCCCCCACCTGGGAGCTCAAGCATTGGCAGCCTCCATGGAAGCAGCCAGAGGCATCCTAAAGGCAGCTCTCCCACTGTTTGCACAGTCACTGCCATGGTGCATAACTACGAACTGCCTCAGAAAGGTTTGTCATCTGGACTTGAATATCACGAAAAAATGTACAAACAAAACTCACACCTTATGAAAGGTGAAAGGACTACGTACACTGGTGGTAAATGGCAATCAGTCATGACCTCCCTCGGGATAATGCCAGGGCAAGACAACCCTGGAGTAGGTGCTAAAGGCCGAGAGAGTCCTCCTCTGGGCTACCCATATAGGCTTCAGAGCCCATTTCAAGGGAAAGCTTGGGATTCTGTACCCCAAAAGAACATTTTGTCACCTAATTGCTACAGTTTTACCCCAGTCTCACCCTGTAGTGCCTTGCCAGAAGATGTTATGGTCGCAATGACAACTGCTGATCCACAGCTTAATCTGAAACAGGCCATTAAACTGCAGTTTGAGGGTCCCACCAGTGCAGCCTTATACAAGAGAGAGACTCCTCTGTGACTGCCTGTTTTACTTTGTATGAGTTTTTGGGTTAGTGCTGATACAATTTGGTTTTACAATTCATACACAGTCACTAAGAGATATCAATTTAAATATTTCAGCAATATTCTGAATACTTTCTAGTTCCACTTTCAGTGTAAGGACTTTTGTAGTATTTTAAATTAATATTGTTGGAAATTGACATTAATCACTCAGGATTGAAAATTGACAGATAAATTGTGGATGGAAATATTCCATTTACGCAGGCTTAGTTAAAGGTAATTTCTGGTATCAAAAAAAACAATCGTAGTCTCTGAAGGAATTCATTTATAGCATTCACAGAAATGTTTCATTAAAATAGGAGTATATGTAAAATAGGAAATGTTTGCAGTTCTAGGAGTTCTCACAAGGTTTCAGTGGCTTTCTGGATGCAGATGTGAAACAAAGTCATCTGTTTCTTAACCACAAGCGTCAGAAACTTGCAGAGGAAGTAGGAACTGAATGACATCAAAGCTTACATTCCTGCCTTTCCGTTTTGTTTGTTACTGTATGTAGAGCTCTGACAAATGTGTGCTTTTTCATTTAAAGTATAAATAACTGTGAACTCAGATTGTATTTTCCCCTCTGTTGAGGTCTTTATTAGCTCTACATTGAAAACACTGCCTATGATAGAACACCAGTTTCTAGGTTTAGATATGTTGTTTTCTGCTGGTAAAGATCCCCAAACATCCTTTGTTTAGGAGCTCAAAGCTTGTGTCCTTGGCCTTTATTGAAGCCTTGTATTTACCATAAACTGACCTACATCCTCCAGAGGCCTGTTGCTGAAAACCAAAATCATTTTTGCAGAAATGCAAGCCTTCCAAAGCCTAACCCAGAGCAGTTTTTATGATACAAACTACAAAAGACAGCCAAGTTAACTGAATCAAGTTGGCTCCCTGCAGCATGCCTGTGAGCAAACAGGAAGGAAAGGAAAAGTTGGACCATGAAAAACTGAGGGTTGATGTAGGAGGGTTGTTGATGTGTATGTGATCAAAATGCATTTCTAGTTATTTTTCATTGAATTAATATTAAAATATGTTCATTCATTAAAATGGCAAACAATGCCATACAACTATCTGCCTCTGCTGTGTCTTCTTATTTGTGAAAGTGTTTAAATGATTCATGTGCTGCTCTCTACCACAAAATGTCATGGATATCTTTTGATCTGAAGCATCACACAGAGATAAAAAGGCTGGCAGCAGGCTGATGGTGGCCAAATGGGATTACAAAACAAGTGCTTACAGATATTTTTAAAACTGAAGGAAAGAAAGGACGACTCAGCAGCCAGATCCTACTAAAATTATCTAAATCTTTCTGATGTGCCTTATCTGTTAAACATTTCCTATTCTTGTAGAAAGGGAATTAGACTCCTGAGGTGCATTTAACAGGTACCAGGGTGCTGTATGTCATTTAGAGCTCTTCAGTCTATATTTACACTGACAAACATCTATTGCCTTATAGGCTTTGTTATGTGATGCTTGCGTCGAAGTACATAGAGCCGGTTTTTCTCCCTATTGTGCTGTGAATGTAATTACATTCTCAATCCAGTTTTGCAGTGTAATTGCTGTTCTTTATTTAATGATTTATTTTGAGTACACAGCACAATCCATAGTGTATTGGACTTATGACATGGCCAAATATTTTTATTTTTTTTAGCAGGTTATGTTTTTTTTTTTGCTTACCTTCAACCCTGTGATGACTTATTTTGGTATTTAGTTTAAAAAGTCCCCAGCCTCTCAAGATACAATACACGGTGAAGTGATAGGCGATGTGATGTGAGACGAGACAAGGCGATACAAGACAAGAAAAAATTGTCTTCTACAGTAAAATGGATAAACGCAATAGAAACAACCTTCCACATGCTTGCAGAGAAACACAATAGCTAATTGAGTTTTTATTGTAATATTCATTGACATTGTAAGAAGATCTAAGAAGCTGTTGTTGGAAAATTCTCTATTTTTTTCTGATAAGGAGTTTGAATTTTAGGATAGAAACCCCGCAAACAACTTATTTTCCAAGAAGACAGAGGTTTTCATTAAGAAGAACACTATACAGATATTGTCACTGACATCTTTCTGTTCGTGCTGTCGAATACTTCAACACAAATGAGCGTTTACAGTTTTTTTTGTCAGAGCACTTTTGTTGTGATTCATTGAATTCTCAACCGTGTCTGTGAAGATTGACAGCCGTCAATCTGGGTTTTTTAAAGCTCTGTTTCTCTAAAAAAATGTTTTTTGTTTTTTTTAAAGCTTAGTTTTCTATGAAGAAAATGACAGCTTGTACACATTATTATTACAAATTATACACATTAGTTAAGACAGGCATCTGCATCTAGAAGAATGTACCTTTCTGTGTTTAAATGCCATTGTCACCATCACAACCAAGTTACAGACCAAGAAATATCAGTGCTGTTTCCATGCTAATTGTATTCACAGCAGGAAAGTCACACTACTTATATTGTTGCTGACAGGTGTGTTGCTGCCTTGTTAAAGACCAGCTGTAAAGGTCTGCTGCTGCTGAAACCATGCTGCTGCTCTGTATTCCCTCAATTAGAAATGTCACCCTACTCATTCCTTTTAATGTAAGGTGAGTTAAAACAGCAGACATGTTTTGGAGAAGGGTTTGCGTAACATTTGTGAAAAGAATCGCCTGCCCTGCTTGGTAGACAGGTTCCAAAGGTAAACATCAGGTGCACACACATGAACAGACCTCAGGAACATTAAATTACACTTGTTCTGGGAGAATAACACTTTATATGAAGGATGTGATGGAATTTATGTATCTCTTTAGATGTACAGATGTTATTTAGCTTATTCCCTGCTCCTGACAACAGTCAGAGCTGATAGGTTGAGCTGTGACTAGGCCAAGCAAGGACTTAGTGGTGGACTTAGTGCCTGCTCCCAATTGTCTTAGACATCACATTTAAGTTTAGGTAGGGTAACATGGCCCTGACTTTAGTATCATCTTTAGGATATATGCAAAGCCTATGGTACGGTCTGACAGAACTGGCTTGGCAAGACACTGTATCACACGTGTGCTGTTAATTCATTTCTCCTCGTGAGTATTCTATGAGTCTCCTGAATCTTTTTTGTTTGAAGTCAAGTTCTTATAAATTTCCTCAACAAAGGACACAGTAAGAATAAGAGATGAAGGCTCTTGTACTGTTTAAATGTGCTGTACTCTCTAACTTTCTGGCAATTATATGTTGGTGTCTTGTGCGTAGGAGCCTAGTCATTTCCATAATTCTTCCTCTACAGCCTAAGCATGAATAAATGAGAGGAGGCAACAGCCTGGGTGAATTCAGTGAGCAGGGGTTTATGGTGTTCTATTATACAATAAGACTGCAATTGAAACAAATAGCTCCTCCAGACAAAATTAACAAGAATTTTATGATTTCTGTGTTATTTCTTTGCTTGAAGGATTGGTTTGGTTACAAAATTTTAAACAAGCAATTTGGAAATCAACTGCAAAAAAAGCTTACAACTCATTTTTTGGCAGCTTGTGAGAGTGTTAAAATCCTTCTTGAGAATGATTTCCGGTAGCTTCAATTATGCAAGTAATCGTTTTATTAAAAGAGTGGGCAAGGACTATTTTGGATACAGAGCTAAATTATCTATAAGCATGTTAATGAAACACATAATCTGATCATAGGGGGTTGCAGAGTGCAAGTGAACTGGAGGAAGAGGTCATCAGACTGCAGAACAGGAAAGCTGGATGACAGGATGAACAGCTGGCTGGGAAACAAGAAGGCTTGCTTACGTGGAGAACAATGGAGAAACAGGATAGTTCAGCGGCCAGGAAACAGCTGATGGGAAACAGGAAGATTTGCTCTGCAGAGAAAAAGGAGCAGATGAATGATCTAAGATGAAAAACAGGGACTGGGATCATTTTAAGTCCAAGAGAGCCAGGCTTGAGTAGGAAATGTTTCTTTAGTAGCACCTAGTGGCAGGGGCAGGAAAATACATCACTCCCCAAAACAATGGATTAATTCTGTTAGCTTTTAATTATAAGAGGAGGGAAATGCAAGACTGTCTATAATGTAATGTACAACAACATAGACGACCTACCTCTTGCCCCGTTAGTATCCCTGACTCTTCCTGCTCAAACTGATTCAGGAGGGATAGTTTAAGCTAACATTAGCTCTAGGCTAAAGTAAAAAGCTGACCCTCACATGCTGAATATATCAAGTTTTTCTATGGTTTAAGTCTATATCCTTTATATCGAGGACTATCGGCTGCCCGTATAATATTCTGTGGATTATACAATATTTAGTTAAATCAATAACATAAAATTAGCTTGCCAGCTTACTTCGCTTAAATACGTTATGTTTCTTCATAGGTCTACTGGATAAATGTCCGCCATTTTCTACCAAGTACATGAAGGCCTACAGTAGGATGTACAGTAATACCAGCAAATACACACAGCCAAATCTACTTTGTTGGGGGGACAAGAGCATGTGGAGAGTTCTCAGGTAGTATCCATGGCCAGGAGAGTTTGACAGTTTGTAATTTCAGCAGTAATTGCAGCTACTTTGTGGGGGAAAAGGAAAACCAAAAAATACCCCCTCTTGCATATTTCAAAAATAACTGAACCAGGAATATAGGGCTGAAAGTAAACCTTAACTCTAATAAAGTATGATGCAAAACGTTTTGGGGAGCTAGCAAGAAAACCGAGAGTGTAAGTTTGATAGTACAGTGAAAACCAAGCCTCTGATTTCCAAAATGTTCAGAGGGGGTGCTGACTTAAAGTCATTAATGTTAAAATACGTTAAAATATTAACTATAGTTTAGAAATATGTTAAGCAGTGAATTTGAAGTTACAGAAGGAGGAAGGCTGTCATGAATTTAAATAGGCTTTTGTCTTGATTTTGATTGTTTTTTGTTTGATGATTGAAATGAAACTGTTTCAGTTTGGGGTCACCATTGCTTGTAATAACAAGGTAAGAAAATATTTAATCACCCTGAAATTAATTAGGCTATGTAATGTTTTTATGCTTTACATTGAAGCCCTAAAGCGCACTGTTTCCATTATGCTTACATCCAAACTGGGTTGTTTGTTACATAACACGGCTTGTTAAATATTCTCTTTAGATTAGACTATGTGTTGTGTTTTAGAGAGGGTAAAACAACTGGTATTTTATAATGTTATAAATTGTATTTGGCTGTGCTTGATTTACATGAGGCTGTATGGTATTTTAGGATAATTCTTCTATAAACATCTTGCTTTTATACTGCTGCACAAGCTCAGACCTTAAAGGCACCAGCGTGAATGAGTCTGCGCATACTGTTTGATCAGTGAAAGGGTTTGTATTATGATGATGAATCCCTCAGTTGAGGAGGACATTGACTTCAAATGCAAACAAAGCTCTTATGTTACTCTTCACTTGGCAACAGATATGAGAGAGTGGGTGTAATACCCAAGAGATTCCTCCTTCTGTTCTTTCTCTGTGTGCAACTTTGATTTGTGGATATTAATTTCATTCAGCACTCACATTATTATGGTTGAAGCTGAATTAAACTGATGTGTTCCATTTAGAGCAAAAACACTGGCACTAACATGAAACATCAGGAAATTTGAAACATTGCTAACATGAAATAAAATGTTAATAGTAGACTATCTATTGGAAAATCAGTTTCTTCAAATGCATATCATTTTCATTGTATCCAGTCTGTTAATACACTTGTAGATTCATATGATGCTGACCTTTTGAAGTGGAAGCATTTACCTGAAAACAGAAATCTGACCCAATCTAAAACCTGAATCTAGAATTTGTAAAAAGTGATGGGTAATCACACATTTTCTCGAGGTGGTGAGGGAGTTAGAATTGAAAGTGTACCAAAATAAACTACATTGATGTTAATCACCTAATGGCAAGCACAGCTCTTGAATAACTTTTAAGCTTTTGCCTAATCCTAAATGAGCATTCCTCTGAATGAAACATCTGCTAAAAAACAGACACATTTCACAGAGTAGAATCAATGATGATCATCCGCCCACCCAGTATAAACTGGCAGCAGTAAATCCACATTTTAAATACAGAATCCATCAAAGAGATGGGAATATACATGGCAGACA